TTTTTGTCAAAAAATTTTAAGATCTATAGACTTTTCATTTTTTTAATGCATAAAAACTTTAGATATATATTCTTTATTACAATCAACATAAAAAATAAAATTATTATTTATTTTGAATAAAATATTAAATTGAGCTCAGCTCAGTTGGTAGTTCATTTTTTGCCACTTTGCAGGTGGCGGGATCAAATCCATCTCAACTCAATATATACATTAATTAAACATGTGGGCCTTAGCGGGGCAGGAGGTCCGAAGCAGGCTGAATGGGTTGAACGCTAAACAGGTCTCTGAACTCCTGGCTGAATGTTGAACGGGCCTTTGGCCTTTGAACTCCTGGTAGTTGAACGAGTCTTTTCGGCTGAACGCTGATCTAAACTCCTAACAGCTGAATGCTGAACGAGCCTTGAGCAGGAATCCGAAGGACCACAAAGCAGCCAAAATTAATTAAGGAACGGGTCATTTAATGTTGAACGGGCCTCTGACAGCTGAACGGGCTGAGCAGGAATCCGAGGGCCACAAGCAGCTGAAATTAATTAAAGAACGGGTCATTTAATTAATTAATTAAAGAATTCAAGGGCCACGATTGAAGCATGATTTAAATAAAAAATAGACATTTAAATGTATATTTTTTAAATCACAAGATGTGAAGAGTTTTTTTTTATTAATTTATTTTTTAATTAATTTCAGTCATAAAGACAGAATTTTAGAGACTAAAAAATTGAAGGAATATAAAATGAAAGTTTTTTTAAATAAAAAAATATTTTTTTAATGACTAATTAATTTTATCATGAATATGAGGCAGTTTTTCCTATAAATAGTCCAAGGAGAGAAGAAAAAAGGTGGAGTCTCCGTCCCACCCTAGAAAGTGATATGAGATTTCTCAAAAAAAGAAAGTCGTCTCCGTCCTGCTTAGCATGCAAGCAACGGGATCTTCTTTCTCGTTGCGACGAAGAGTTGCGGTGAAGTGTTGCGGCAAAACGTTACGACAAATAGTTACGACGAAATGTTGCGCCGAAATGTTACGGTGAAGTGTTGCGGCGAAACGTTGCAGCTAAGAGTTGCGGAACGTTGCGGCGAAATGTTACGGTGAAGTATTGCAGTGAAGATTTGCGGGGAAGAGTTGCGGCGAAACGTTGCGGCGAAGTGTTGCGGCGAAGAGTTGCAGCGAAATGTTGCGGCGGAGCATCTCGGAGGGGTGTCGCAGCGACGCTTTGCAGCGGGGTGTTGTGACCACGCGACACATTGTGGTGGAGAGTCGCATATTTCGGAGTAAATTCTTGTGTCAGGTGCCACTCTGGTACGTTATGAAAGTGATGAGAAAATGATGTAGTTTTCTCGCCTCGCCATAAGGAGGGAATTTTCATGCTTATGTGGTGACGATATCTGGAGGCCCCTTGACTATCATATGAAATACCAGAATTTTAGGAAAGCGATGCCGACTCTAATTAAAGATGAATTGATTTATTGTAGCCCTTGTACATGTATATGTTGGTATTTGTAGCTTTTTTATTCATCTGATGTGACAATTATAGATGATAACAATGTATTTTTTGTTGCTTCCACGGTTGTTGTGGTTTCTTAATTGTGCAAAGTTCTTCTGAGGCTTGTAGTCTTCTGAGGATTTTTTATGCACTTGTAGCCTTCTGAGGTATTTGATGTACATGTGTCTTTTGAGGCTTGTAACCTTCTGAGGTCTTTGAGTGTACCTGTGCCTTCTGACTTGCTCTCATGGAGTCTTTCTAGTGAGGACCTTATCCACTACTAGCTTCCCATCGAGTCTTGCCTTTTAAGCTCAGGGGCATGCTTGTGCCTTGTGAGGCTTGTAGCCTTCTAATGTCTTTGAGTGGAGACCCTGTCAACCACTTGCTCTCATAGAGTCTTTCTAGTGAGGACCCTGTCCATAACTAGCTTCCCATCAAGACTTGCCTCTTGGGCTCGTCTTCTAGAGATATTGTAGCTTCTCATTGAGTCTTGCCTCTTGGGCTTGATTTTTAGGAGTATCATATCTTCTCGTTGAGTCTTGCCTATTGGGCTCGACTTTTAGGGGTATAACTTCTCATCCTGAGTCTTGCTTCTTGGGCTCGACTTCCACGGGAATAAGAAAATTTCATTGAAATGATATTTTAAAGCAACATAAAAATTTTGCTAAAATAAAATTAAAAGTTTATAAGCCAGTTTTTTACTCAGATAATATGAGTTGGAGTTATACTTCTCATTCAATAACTCCAACAGTTCTCTTTTGGTTCCCCTCACATTGTTCTTGTAAGTAGTGACCTAGGTGACCTTGGGGTATTAGACGTCCAATTTCTTCCTTTAATTGAAAACATCTTTCTATTGAATGTCCTTTTACATGGTGGAAATGACAATATTGAGACTGGTTTCCATCATCTGGATTTCTTAATGGCTTGGCCACTTAACAGTTTTTTCATCATTGATTGTCATTAAGATGTTAACACGTGACGTGTTGAGTGGCGGGTATTTTTTTGGCGTGTATTCTTTTTTTGATCATTGCTCACGATTTCCTTGTGGCCGAAACTTTTTTCGTTGTGAGAATTGATTGGTATCCTCAGCATTATTCTTGCGCTTGCCCCACAATCGCTCAAGATTTCCTTGTGGCCAAAACTTTTTTCGTTGTGAGAATTGATTGGTTTCCCCAGCATTATTCTTGCGCTTGCCCCACAATCGCTCAAATTGTTCCTTGTGAGCAATGATGACCTCATCTGCAGAGATTTGTGCCTTAACACGGTGAACAAGGTCAGCATAAGAATGAACCGTCTCCCTCATCAACGATGAGTAGAAAGGTCCTGGGCGGAGCCCCCCAAGGAAGACTCCTCTTAGTAACTCTGGATATACTCCTGGGATCTGTCGGGTTTCAGTAGAAAACCTGCGGAAGTAATCCTTCAATGATTCTCCTTCGCTTTGATGAATTCCCGAGAGATGGCCGAGAGATGGGATGAATCATTGATGATCCGTCGGTTTGCTGCGAACTATTCTACAAACAGTCTGACAAGCTCATTAAAAGTGTTTACAGTGCCCCATGACAGAGAGTAGAACCAGGTTCGAGCTTGTTCTTTAAGAGTAGCCGGAAAAACCTGACACAGAAGTGCATTTGAGACACGTTGAATGTGCATAATAGTTCGATAATAATCAATATGTTCGTAGGGGTCAGCTATCCCTTCATATGTATCGATGTTCGGAAGCTTGAAGCCTGTTGGGATGGGGTGTTGGAAGACCGCATCCACTAAGGAAGAGGATTCATGTATGTTACGGTGAGTGTAGAAACAATCCTTTTTCTCTAGGGGAAACTCTTCCCGAAAGAGGCGTCATAGTTCATAACGAATGACATCATCTGAAATGACAGGAAGATGTGGCGATGTCGGATGAGCTGCACGAGATGGATGAGTGGAACTTGCGGTATCTAGGAGTTCAACATCACAACCTGACAGGGGATGTGTTCCTTCTTGAGGAGGCGGGCCGATATGAGTTCCTCCAAGCGGTATGTTTCTCATACGTCGCGGAGTTAATGGTGTGGGCAGCGGTTGTTTAGGATTTCTAGTTGAGACTCCTCCATTCTATGCATCCGATCTTCTATAGAAGGACCTGAAACACCTTCGTTGGCAGGATAGCGTCTTCCAGGGCGGGAAGATGAAGAAGCATGCCGCCCTTGGCTTCGTGACTGCTCCCTTGAACGGTTGGTATTGGAGCAGGATGCTCTGTTGTCACGAACATTGTGTATGGTGGCCATGTAGTAAACCGCGTAAGTACTTTAGTTGTGAGATTGAAACTTTTTCACACACGACGCCAAACTGATGCGTGCTAGAAAATTCACGACAGTAGAGTAATTGATTATCGTCTTAGCGTTGCACGAGAATTCAACACACACTCAGATGAAAATGAATCAAGATGTAATAACACCAGAAGTTTTTACGTGGAAAACCCGTAAAGGGGAAAAACCACGGGGTCTGACCCAGTTGTAAAAATTCACTATAAGTTGATGATTACAGATGACCTTTGTCCCACAGACTGTAAAGGATTACTAGTTTTCCAAGTTACAACGTTGACTGACGACGTCTAGTCAGCGGTGGTTGACGGTGGTCGACGTAGGTCAGCGTTGGCTGACGACGGTCGATGACGGCCGACAGTGGTCGACGAAGGTCAGCGGTAATCGATGGATGCCAACGGTGGTTGTCGACGGTTAGTGGTGGTCGACGACGGTCAACGATGGCGAGGATGATCTTGGACTTGAGCTCCTTCTCAAAGCCTCAAGTTCTCTCTTAAGCCTCCCCCTTGCATGTGAGAGGTGAGACTCTATTTATAGAATTTTGAGTGCAATTAGTACAGAAATAGGAACCATTTTGATCGGACGGTCCGGAGAGCTTCTCTTGATCAGATGACGTTTGATGGACATTTGAGTGTCTTAACGATGTTGGAATTGACCAATCTTGGGCTCATTGGATTCATCTTGTCGAAATGCTCGATTCGACTATGAACTCGTTAGATTCGACATCCGTTTGACATTTCAAATGCCTCCGAAAATCCTCCAAGAGTGGTCTAATAATTTGATCTGAGCTTGATTTGGCTCAGATTGAACTGACTTTTATATCATTAGGTTCGTCTCATCAAGCCGATCAATTTGACTATAAGTTTGTTGAAATCGAAGCTCTGGATGAATTTTTATCAAAATTTGAATGTTTCTTATTCAAAGTATGAGCTTGATTTGGTTCAAATTGAACTGACTTTTATATCATTAGGTTCGTCTCATCAAGCCGATCAATTTGACTATAAGTTTGTTGAAATCGAAGCTCTGGATGATTCTTAATCAAAATTTAAATATTTTTTATTTAAAAAATTATATCAAGATTCGTGCTGGCTTATGAAAATTTATTGTTGGCATATATATATATATATAGAGGCCACCAACAAATTTTCATGAGGCTATACTTATTTCAATTTTTTAATAATAATCCCGGGCATCATCGTGCAAAAGGCCAGATTGGTTACTCCGTAGTGCTATAAATCTTCCTCAGCGCCTTAACATCGCCGAACTATAGAGATCTCTCTCTCTCTCTCTCTTCTCCGTCACTGTATATCGAGGAGATCTGGATCGCAAGAGAAGCTTCAGCTATGAAGGGATTACTTCTCTCTCCTCTTCCGACTCACCAGTCGAAGATCCCAGATTTCTTTCCTCTCTCTTCTCTCTCTCACCGGTCGAAAACCCCGACTCTTAGCTTGTTCCTCCCAAACTCCACCACTCGCTCTGTTCTCGGTTTGCGCCGGAGGATGAGTTCCGCTATTCGCTGTTCTACAGACGGAGCCGTGAAGGTGGAAGAGCAAATCCCTATTGAGAAGAGTAAGCTACAGTTTGATATGTCTATGCTTTCGTGGTCTCTTTCTTCGTCAATTTCATGTTTCATTCGTTTAACTGATTGCAATGTAATTTTCTAAATTACAATCTGAAGGGTTCTTGGCTTACCCGACCGTCATGGACATCAATAAGATCTGTGAAATTTTACCACATCGGTGAGTTCATTTTGAAATTTTATTTTTATTTTTTTTAATTTTCTTATTGTTTTATGACGACCTAATTGGAGAAATCTCTGTTGCCCCTCCTTCGCTTTAAGTACATAGGTTTCCTTTCCTCCTAGTGGATAGAGTGATCGAGTACGAACCAGGAGTTACAGCTGTTGCAATCAAGAATGTGACTATAAATGATAATTTCTTCCCTGGCCATTTTCCGGAAAGGCCAATAATGCCCGGTGTGCTCATGGTTGAGGTGAAATTTTGTTCTCTCCTCTTATAAGGCTGTTTGGTATCTTATTTTAGACTTGATTTAAGCAAGATTTAGCGTAAAATCCTACAATCAATTTTCTAATTGTTTTGTTTATTTTTTTGTTTTTAGGATTTTAAATCATGCTGATTTGATAAATCCTTTTTCAGCCTTGTTATTGGTTAAACACATGATCTTTTTTTTCTAACCCATCATTCACTGGGTTTAATGGATTTCTCTACTCTTATAATTCTTAAATTGCAAAACAAATACCTGCTGAACATTGTACGAAGATTAGTAAGATTTAATAGCTGTTATGCCATTTAAGTTTCTCTTCTAATTCTCCCAATTTTTTTTCTAACCCATTATTCACTGGGTTTAATGGATTTCACTACTCTCATAATTCTTAAATTGCAAAACAAATAACTGCTGAACATTGTACGAAGATTAGTAAGATTTAATAGCTGTTATGCCATTTAAGTTTCTCTTCTAATTCTCCCAAAAAAATACTAAATACCAATTGAGTTAAATACTAACTTTAGCCAGTCAACCATTAGTCATATTAAATAAGTAAATTTTAAAAACAGACCCATTAGTCAAAATATAACAATTTTCTTTTTCTGTTTGAATTTGAGTGGTTTTGCCTCTTTTTTATTGGATTACAAGTCAATTCTATATTCTTATGGATTAAAGAAACTTGTATCTCTTTGACATTGCCATATGTTTGGTTGATTTAACAGTTAAACTTCATGTTCTGGTATGGGAGTGGTCCACCTACTTTACATAATCACATTATATGTGAAGGGATTTTTTCTGAAGATAACCGAGTGAGGTGAATAATTGTTGGCTATTTTAATGTCAAGCGCTAGTATCATAACCTTCATTCTTAGAATATATAGGTAAGGTTGTCGAAGTATGGATGATTTTATGTGGATGGTGAACCATTGGCCTTAAATAGGTCAAAATATATGAGTGCTTAACGGAGATAATCATGGGTTTATTCAAAAAAAATTGAGAGTATTTTTTAGGAGAATATGGTTGATGAAAAAATTAAAGGTTAAAAAGTACTATTAGATTGCCAACTTTACCTCTTCCATTTTGCGCCTCCGTGACATTCTTACTTTTTCTTATTTTCTTATTTCCTTTTGTTTCTTTCTCCTCTGCTTCTCTTAACCATCTTTCTTGTCTTCATTTATTGTTTCCTTGCTTAGCAATGAAGTCCTGTTCCCTTAGGATTCTCTTAAGCAGAGGAGGAGAGAGAACACTAGAGAGAGATGTCAGACTTAATAACTGGAGAGAAAGGGGCAAACTTAAGGGATATGGGCAACCTTAAGGGATATGGATTTTGATGAGGCTAATTGTTCATGAATTTTTTTTTTTGATTCAATATTTCTGTAATAGATGCAAATATTTATACATAAAAAGCATGATAAAATAATTTAGACTTAAGCTACAAAACTAACTTCTGAATTTAGTATAACTAGGAGGATAATCCTCTTTAAGATGAGGATTAATCCTAACCAGGCTCCTTAAGGAAGTTGAGGCTTCATTAGTGGATAAAACTTGCATATTCATATTTAACACTCTTTTTATCCTTTCTTTCATTTGAAGATGTTTGGAACCCTTATTTTATATTGTTCGCATCTTTCATGATGTGCTGAGAAGATAGAGATGGTGGAGTTATCTTATTTTTGTCATGATTTTTAATTTGCCATGCAAATCTGGTAGGCTTATGTCTAGAGCTTGTTGGACTACGACTTTTTTATTTGGCTTAAATTGCTTAAGCTATTAATTTTCCTTGTGGTGACCCTTATATTGCCTTCTTAGAGCTGCATGAATATGTTCATCTTCTAATGTTTTTTGTTGGCTGCTTTTGGCTTCTTATTTTTTACATATTGGAAGATGTTGAGCTGACTTATATTTTTGTAGTTATGAAAATACTGATTACTTTATTTGGTGGCTTTACACATTTACTGTATATTTTTCTTTCTCCATCTATTATTGTTCCTTTTGTAAGTGTGTAACATCCTATCAAATAAGTACGAGTTTTCTAAGATTAAATGACGTTTTTCTAGTAGTGCCATATTAGATATGACCTTATCCATGAATTGTTCGGAGATGAAAAACTTGATTGGGCATTGTTCTATAACTCCAAATTCAATATAATTTTTTAACTCACTCTATGTTGTTTGTCTTTAGGTCAGGAAGGTGTCTATCCCTAATTTTTCTACCAAAACTTTAATACGATTCATCACACTTGCTGAACCTACAATTGCACCAACAATGTTAGATTTTACTCCCCCCTTTTCTGACTTCTTACATGCGTTATTTATGTTAGAAGTCCTTCCATTTCATTCACGATTGTGGTGAATGTTTCCTTTGTTATGACAACCTATATATTTGGCCTCTTTTTAGGGTTGAATTCTAGCAATCATTGTCTATATGAATTATGATTTTGAATTGCATGCATTAATTATTATGGCTCGTAGCTTCTCTTATCCTACATTGCAATTTTGAGGGAGTTATAATCTTTTGTTTTTGGTGTTGTTATTGGGCCAATACTTCTTGATTGTTATGAATGGAGCTTGATTTGATTGCTCTCGACACAAAATATCTTCATTCTTACTTTTGTCCTCTACACAACTCTTACATCTTTCAAGAAAATTTATTTTTCTATCAAAGAGATTTCTGAGAAAATTGATTGCCTCTTGATATCGGTGGTGTTTGCATGCATGGCTTGCTTTTCATGTCTAGATGTATTTTGTAGATCCACTCATCATTTTCATGGCAATTCAGATAACATGTATATTGGAAATCCTTTGAACATACACCTCATTCTTGAAGGATCATGATTCTTAGCATCTATACCTTATTACATGTATTTAAGTCAGTTTAAATTGTGCATATGATATTTTTTTGTGCATGATTATAATTCAATAGTGAAAGTATGCCTCTAACATTTTCACCAATTTACTCACCTACTTTGAATCGATTTTATCATTATGTGAGCAAATTTCTACTTCTTATATAATTTAAATGATAGTTAATTCTGATCCAATAGTTCCGATTTTCCTCTTCTACTTCGTCTTTCAATTTGTATCTCAAAAAAATATAATCATTCTCTTAAGGGAATATTTCCTCTTGTGATATTAGACTTTTAGGCTACATGTGTCCTTTGGTGAGTCAAATTTTCTGCTTCTTGGTAGGTTTTTAAGCTTTTTAAACGCACTGCAAGTTTTAATCCTTTCTAGGCTTCCTGTGGAAGATTTTCCTTGTACACTTATGCATTTAATGTCTTCAATTAGCTCTTAGATTTTTTGCTCTTCATTTTATTTGTAGTTTTTCGTCTCATACTCAACACGCAAGATATACACGGTAATGCCAAAAATTATCCAAAATTAAGGGGATTATATTTGTCAAATAACCACCTAACAATGGATGAATGATGTAGGTGGGAATTTGATATAAAATATCATTGTTATTGCTTTTATTCTTAGAATGCCTAAATAAGATTGTTGAAGTGTAAAAGACAACAGGTTTTATTGTAGATGGTGAATCTTTGCCAACTGTGTAAAATATTTTTTTATTTGATGATGTTGTGATTAAGTAGGCTAAAATAGTTCCTCCATAGGGATAACTATTTAGGTTAACCAAGGGCTTAATAGAGTATTCCAGAGGGCAATGAGAGAATAGTGTTTAAAATAATATAATTGATGAAAGTAGCAAACTTAAGAGTTATTTGTAGATAACCTGCCTTACCTCTTTTATTTTGTTGGCACAATGATCTTTTTCTTTGTCCTTTTTGTTATTGCTTTAGATACTTAATAATAGCCTAATAGCACAATCATGCATTTTATATCACACAATGCGTTTTATTTTAAAAAGAATGCAATTGTAATAAAATTTTTTGATAATTAAATAAAACAATAGATAAATATTTTTAAAGCAAAAAATGCAATTCAATTGTCACATTTTAATACTCACATTTTAATCTAAAGTCTATTTGAAAAATAATCTTATGATGGAAAAGAATGCAATTTAACTTGCAAATAAAACTACCATGGTAATTGCAATGCATAATTATATAGCAAATTCTAAATTTTGGGGCTTAGGTTTAAATAATAATAAAAATGTCAAATTAGTCTTTATACTTCTTTTAATATTGGTTAAAAGTGTCTCCATATTCTTTTAAAGGAATGATTATTTCAATCTGAGTATTAGTTGAATAATTTTATGAACTCTTTTGCCAGAATAGTCTCGTGTAAATTAGTCTTTATACTTGTTTAATATAGGTTAAAACAGTCCCCATACTCTTTTAAAGGGAGGATTATTTCAACCTGAGTATTAATTTACTCTGGTTCCATAGTCTATAAAAATGTCAAATTAGTCTATACTTTTTTTTAATAAAGGTTAAAACAGTCTCTATACTTTTTTTAAAGGGAGGATTATTTTTGCATGGGTATTAATTTAATACTTTTATAATTCCTGTTGCTAGATACACCTTTCATGCATTAGCTAATATAACTTATATGTAAAATTGAAGTTTAGGTGTTAGACATGTGAATGCATAGAAGTTGAGAGACATGCATGTGCTTAAAAACTATAGATCTTGTCTTTAATCTCATGCAACCATGCATTTATAAATCATCTAAACTTGATCCACTTCACAATCTAACAAATCGAGCCAATGTCGGTTCGAACTCAAACCTTCAAGTCATCTCACGAGCCGGTTCGGTTCAATTACAAAGTTAATATTTTTAGCAATTTAATAAGGGGGTATTTTCTATGTATTTACATATCTAAACACCTAAATTTTACTGTTTACATTATATCACACAATGCTTTCATATCACTTACAGAATACCACCATTCTGACTATTTCATGCATAGGATAGGATACATATATGTAAAAAAATGGAAGTTTAGGTGTTAGATAGTACATAAAATTGAGTGGTATGTATGTAAATCATCCAATTTCTTAAAGGGACATTTACATATCTAACATCTAAATTTTACTTTTTACATTCATACAACCTCAAATCTTTCACATCACCACATCAATACCACCACCATTGAAACTTTGAAAAATTGGAATCATGCATATAGACAAGGTGGCATATATGTTAAAATTTTGACTAGTATAGGCGTTAGATATGTAAATACATGAGAATTAAGTGGTATGTATGTAATATTTGTTATATAATGGATGCAGGCCTTGGCTCAGGTAGGAGGTATTGTGATGCTGCAGCCTGAAGTAGGAGGCTCTCAGGACATATTCTTCTTTGCGGGCATGGATAAGGTGAGGTTTAGAAAGCCAGTAATAGCGGGGGATACGCTGGTCATGAGAATGACTCTCATTAAATATAACAAAGCCTTCGGGTTGGTGAAGATGGGCGGGAAGGCTTATGTGGGTGGAGATGTAGTTTGTGAGGGAGAGTTCTTGCTGGCAAGTGGATCTGGAAATAAATAATAAATACATAAATGAACAAAAATAAATAATAAATATTAGATCCAGCTTTTGCTTAATTGAAACATTTAAATAATTTGGTGTGATTCAGAATTATTCATGTAGTTTTGTTTGAGGATTTGTTTGGGAAGATTATAATTGTTTGTGAATTAAGTTGTGATATTTGTAAGTGGCTATTGATGCTAGGAAGATTTAGGGCCCGTTTGGGGCAGCTTATAAGTGCGGCGGCCGTACAGTTTGGTTCGCGTGTTTCGCCAACTTATCCAAAATTGCGTTTGGGTTTTTACACTAAAAGCAGACCGCAAAATTTCAGGATAGGCTGCTTATCCTGAAATGCACAAGCTGCCCCAAACACAAGGGTCGACCCGCGACCCACGCGCCCCTCAATGCCTCTGTGTTTACACATGTTACACTTGAATTTTAATTTGTTACATGCATGCCATCTTACCTATGTATGGAAACGGGCGTTTCACTTTTGATGATTGTTAAACACTAATTTTTTTAGATTATCATTTCATATCATTCTTTTATATATATATATATATATATACATACAAGCTCAAGCTATAAGTGGCTCGTGAGCTGAGCTCTATTAGTTAACAAGCCAATTGCAAGCTAGTCTTGACTCAACTCGTTAGATCATGAGCTAGCTCATTTAATAAAAAATTAAAATAAATGTACTTAAAATATATTAAATTAAAAAAAAATTCCTTTAAAATATTAAAATGTTTGTATTTTTTAAATATTTTAAATGAATTATTTTTTATTATTTTTTCTCATAATTATTTGTTTTTTATCATTTTATTATACAATTTTTTTAAAATTAATATTATTTTTTATTATATAATAAATAAGTTAGCTTGAATTTAGACTTGAGATTAAGGTCCTGTTTGGAGCGGCTTAAAAGTGTGGCGGCCTTTTTGAAAACGTCGCTTTAGTGTTTGGTTAATACGTTTTCAGTGCAGTTTTAAAACCCATGTTTCACTGTTTAGGGTAAACAATGAACGCGGGGCTATAGGCGCGGATCACATTTTGACATTTTGGCTAGACCATTTTCCTCTGCTGCCCTCGCGCTGCTCTCGGTTGCCCTATTCTTCGCTCATGAGATCGTGCCCTAGCTACCTGAGAAGGTGTAAAATGGTAAAACAAATGGTGCATTCTCATCTCCTTCCTCTTTTCTTCTTCTTTGCATTTTCGCGCGATCGTGCCATGTTCTTCTTCTTCTTTGCTTTTTCGGTTGTCCCGTTCTTCGCTCAACCGATCGTGCCCTAGCTACCCGAGAAAAAAGCGTATAGTGGTAAAACAAATAAGAAGGCGTATAGCGGTAAAACAAATTTGTGCACCCTCATCTCCTTCCTCCTCTTCTTCTTTGCATTTTCTGGGTTTCTCCTCTCCCCTCGTCCTCCCTCGCTGTGTATTTTTTTTTTCCTGTGGTACTGTATATGGGGTTTCATGGCATTCTGGTGTGATACAACTATTTCTGGTGCATGATTAGATTCATGATTACTGTTAGATCCATACGAAAGAACATTGTTTAAATTTTTTTGAGCTTTTATAGGGTTTTGAAATTCAGCACTGGTGTTAGCAGTTTCATTTCAATTATTTTTATTTAATGCAAATCAAAGCAAATCAAAATGAGTGGTCCTTATATATGCAAATCAAGTTTCATTTCAATTTCTCTCTCATTGCAGTTGATTGTCCTTAGTTATATCAAATTTTTTGTATTGCAGTTGATTGTCCTACACCGGTACGAAAAGTCTACAGTTATATCAATTTTTTTAAAAATTTTAAAAAGCATGCAATACTTGTTGTGAATATTTGATTGCATTACATACATGTCATCGTACCATTCGTTCATGTCACAATAAAAAATGAGTAAATTTAAAGAGTTCGTATCATCGACTATGTGGGATATAGATTCTACTAATATTTTTTGTGATCTATGTTTGAGGGAGGTCGAATTAGGAAATCGACACACTATTTTTTTTAATAAAAAAAGGTTGAAATAACTGTATCACGACTAAATTCAAGGAAATAACTGGAAGAGATTACGATGGAAGAGATTACGATCGGATGAAACTAAAAAACAAATGAGATCAATTAAAAAAGGACTGGAAACTTTGGAAATATCTCAAAAGGGGATCAACTAGATTATGATGGGATCCACTAAAGCAGACAATTGATGCACTTGAGGAATTGTGGGAAGAAAAGTTAAAGGTAATTACATCACTATTTCAACTTATTTTCAGAGTCAAATGTTTTGAATATTGATTACATTTTTCTTGTTGTTACAGGCAGTGCCAGCGGAAAAAAAAATTCAAATTGACTGGCATTGAACCAGTTTTGGATGATAAATTGGATGGTATGTTTACTGGCGTTGTAGTAACAACAGCTCATTTTTTCACCCCAAATGAGCAGGGCTTCGCAAAATTAGCAGAGGATATGAAGACTGAGTATATAGGTGATTCAGGAGAAAGTCCCAGCCAAATCCCCACAGATATCCAATCCACTAGTGGAACAAAGCGTCCCCGACCTGCAAAAAATAAAAAAAAAATTGCATTTGTTAGAGGTCCTATTGAGACCTTGATTGAAACTTGCAAAAATAATTTTAAAACGGCGAAGGACAACACAATTCAGGAGTGTGTTAAGATCCTTAACACATATCTGGTATTAAGAAAGACCAAGCTATGTATGTTAAGTATGTCAAGTTGCTAGGGAACTCTACCCGCAGACAGTTCATTGAGTCTTTGGACCCAGAACTCCATCTTCCCTATTTGCGTTCTTTTATGAAAGATTGAATGACATTAATGTAACTTCATTACTACTGCTGAGTTACATTGACTATTTATTTGATGGACTCTTATCTATTTGTTTCTTATGTGCTATTAATGTGATGGACTCGCTTAATGTATTGTATTTTTTAAATAATGAAAATGTAGTCTATGTATCGTTGTCATTGTCACATATTATTTATTATCTTGTTTAAAAATCTATCATTTTTTCAGATTTTATATTATGGATGAAGCAAATTAATCAAATCTGCATTGTTGCTCTCACCCTTACGTTGTTATACCATTATTACCATGGATATGTTGATTGAAATCCATGCATGAAATCTAGTAATATTGGAGATAGATGGATTGGAGAGTTATTATGTGGTCACCCGACACGTTTTGCAAATATGTTTTGTATGACAAAAGTAATTTTTCTGGACCTGCTTAATGAACTTCGGATCCTTCATGGATTGCATGGTTCATCAAGAACAACAACTAAAGAGGTGTTGGCAATAACACTTTATATTTTATCCCACAATGAATCCATTGGAGAAGCTGTGGAACGGTTTCAACATTCCTCAGAAACCATAAGTAGATATTTCTCAGTTGGGTTGAATGCGCTAGTGAGTCTGGCACGTGAAATAGTCAAGCCAGAGAACCCAACATTCCAGTCCATTCCCACACATGTTGCAAATGACCCTCGATATATGTCGTTCTTTAAGGTGCTTTCCTAATTTAAATTACAGTTACTATAATTTTACACATGATTTTCTTATTGATAAAATCGTTCATCACATGATTGCATCGGAGTTATTAACGGAACACATGTCGATGCACGTATTTCTGGCACAGAGAAAGTTGCATACATTGGAAGGTGTGGTTCCCCGACACAAAATGTAATGGTTATTTGTGATTTCAACATGTGGTTCACCTATGTGATGGCTGGTTGGGAAGGTAGCGCACACGACAGCCGTGTTTTCAAGTTTGTTAATAGCAACAGAAATTATGGTTTCCCTTATTCACCACCAGGTATGACAGTCGTGTTTTACTTTTGACCATCCAAATTTCTATAAAATTTCTAAATACCAGAAAACCTTACACAGTGAAGTACTATTTGAAAGATGTCGGGTATTCTTTACAAAGGGGTTATTTGAAATCATATCCAGATATAAAATATCATATACCTAATTTTGAGAGGTTAAGCGGAGTTGCACGAGGCAAGAAAGAAATATTTAACAAAAGACATTCATCCTTGCGTGGTGTGATCGAGAGATCATTCGGGTTTGGAAGAAGAAATGAGTTATTTTACGTGAAATGTCATCTTATCCATTTCCAAAATAAGTCCAGATTGTACACAACTTCATTCGACGACATCACTCCAGAACAGATGCAGAAGTTGTCGTTATAGAAGAAGATTTATTGCAGATAACACCTGAGGCCTTTGAATACCATGTTGGACGTACCATCCCACAACTTGAACTTGATTCAATAGAATCACACACCCCAAATGGAGAAGAAGCTTTGGAGATGGCGGCTTTGAGAGAGCAAATAGCAAATGACATAAGCCTAGACGCCTAGACGTTTGTGAATGCTACTTGTTGTGTTTCATCTAAGTTATGAATACGTACTATGTGTGTCGAGCTGCATATCTTTTAAGAATTAATATTATTATTCTTGAAAAGAATATTGCATATTTGTGGGCATTTTATTTAAGTGCATTTTTGTTATTGAGTTAAAAAGAAAGTTGCATATCTGTGTTTTCATATGTATCTGGGTGTTTGCGTTTAAGAAAGTTTAATGGTCTTTCAAACCTTCTGCAACTCCCTCGTGCCGAACATCCTCTCCCCTTCGATTCCCATAAAACCATAAACACCGCCTGAGAAAAAAATTTTCCATCAAAACTCAACTCAAATAACAGTTTTGGATCAACTTAAGTGAATTCGAAATCATTTGGCTCCCAAAAAAAAAAATGCTGAGAAACTGATACTTGTTCGAAATTCTGAAATATGCGATGTGCCTTTATTTGGCTTTATTAAATTTGGGGATGTTTTATGCTGCAGTAATGTTCAATTGAGACTTGTTTTGTGCTGCTGTCTGTGGATTTTCTCTGGCTTGCTTTACATATACGGTTTTATGGGTTTTCTCTGGCTTGTTTTACATATACGGAACACACATCCTTGAAAAATTGTTGTATTTGTCCAACCTCTGACTTGTTTTGTCCTGCAGTAATCCTCTCCCCTTCGATTCCTGTATTCAAAAAAAATTTACACTTTAGGAGGCTTAAATAATTACAACAACAATTGTGTCATTTATTTTTTTGACGATGGAATTGGGGGAATCCATTTGGGACCTTGTTGAAAATTGTTGA